TCTAAACAATTTACGCAACGTGTCATAATAGATATATTCCTAATCTAGACTATATTTTATATTCTTCATAAATTAAAAAAAAATTTCTTAAAAAATAAAAAATTCTCAGTTTTAAAAATAATCTTCTTAACCATTTTAATATTATTTCGCTACATATTTTGTTAGATACTGGTTTGAGAAATTCTGTGAAGATTATGTATCTCTCTTTATCATTTCAAAAATTTTACAGGTCAAGATAATTTTTTTTTATGCCGTAAATGTCGTAAGTGCCGAATTTCATTTTAAAGGAACATTTTTTTATCTTAGCTGTTTGTTGAGAACTAGCACAGGTCAAAAAGGTGAGTCCGATAGAAAGTCGTTCACATTCAAGTTCGTTCAAGTTCGAAAATAGAACTTACGAAACTTACAAAACTGCCAAGATAATCGAAGAAATGGAAGAACATAAACAATATAGCGAATGCACACGATTTAATGCCAGTAAAATAGATTAGAAATTTCGATATTATTGATGCGTAAAATATATTAGAAATTTTGATATTATTTTGAATAGTGAATTTTATCGCGTGAAAGTAAGCCTCGTTGTTGAACATTTTTATGCAAAATTTAGATTCCATAGTAATAAAACCCCAATAAATTTGAAAAATGTGTTAAGCAAACAAACTGTGCTGTAGAAAACAAAAAATTTCTCTTTAAATTTATCGCAGAATTTGTAAAAGCAGAATATTGAGCACTATTCTAAGATACAATATCCATATATAGCTGTAAATTATTATAAGTATAACTTGTATAAAGGTAACTTATAATATCGTTCATTGTGTACATCAGGTATCGCCAGGTCCTTCATTCCGTCGATTATGGCGAATCGTGAAGAACACGGAATCGCAGTACGGAGTACTTTGATCCACCGCGTAAGTGCGATGTTATCGTCTAACGACGGCCGTATCGCTGATAGAATCGTGACAACATAATAACAGATTTCCACATTCAAGGCAGAGCTGATGAGTTCTTTTCCCGTTCTCTAATCGCCGTAATCTTTATCCAATTTGTTCTCACGATCGGCACTCGTGCGTTATTTAGAAAGAACAATCCGCAATACGTTTGGTTTAGTTTCCATCCGGAAGAACGCGGGAGCGCGACTAATTTTTTAACACGTTTCACGGACGTTGACAGCGAGGCATTACACCTGTGCTAATTGTGTCTCTCAAGGAGCGTCTAATCAACAAGTGAGAATAGAAAGTACAGATGGTCGGTAGTAAAACGGTAGAAAAATGGAGTTTAAAATTAGTAACTTTATGAGAAAATGTAATTGGAACTCTTTGTCATCGTCGTCGACAGAGAAATATTAAGAAATAAATTTATCTTCACATCACTCATTTTATACATTTCTCATACGGGAGAAATATACTTTTAAAATTGCAAAATATAATTTTTATGAAAAATAAAAATCATAAGACAATAAAAATATGTACACGATACAAGCAAGTTGCTTCACAAGTTGCTTTCAGAATTCAATGATTGCATCTTACAATTAGCTGAACGCCTAATGCACTTAATTATAAAGGATAGTGTATCCGTCCAATGCTACTGCATTCGATAGTAAATGGGTGAATTAATTAAATTAAATGGTCTTGAACCAGATCTCTATTACTTCATTGGCGCTTCACCGTGCGATGAGCGCTTTCACAAGAGAGCGGAAATTGCGAAATTTGCGTTAACTTGCGTCGAATGTGGCCAACCTCTTCAGCGAGGAAACATCTCGGTCATAATGTATCGATAATTATCAAATTAAATGAAATTAGTCGATGGATCATTACACGAGCGTATCGATTCCTCCAGAGAGCTCATTAAGATACGAACCGTGAACACATCGATCTGCGCAAATATTCGACTCTCGCAAGACTACTCGAATTTCGCCGAATCTCACTTTTTCGCAATGTCTCTGATAATTTGCTCAGAGCGACTGCATCAAAAATGAAATTGAATCAATACTTATTTGTAAAATCATAAAGAAACAAACGTAATCCAATTATTTTTTTTTTTTAATTAAAAATTCTAGATAAATAAATTTAAAATTTTTTGAATAAATTCTAAAGTTATTATATTGATATAAAGTAATTACATTACAGTTTGTAGCATCTTTCCTTTCTCATGAAACTTTAAGCCTTATACTATTCAGCGATGTTTGAAGCGAAAAAATTTATGATCTCGTAATAATACCCGAAATTTATTAACATCGATGTGGAATAAAGATGCGAAAGAAAAGTTGCGTGTTCGCAATGATATTTTGCTTTCGGTTTACTTACGATTTCTCAGCGAAGAAAGTTCGCAACATGCAACTTCCCTTTCAAGCTACGACCATACAAGAGTTGCAAACAGGGTCACGCGGATGAAAGTCAATAATACTTGCGTGAGCAAATATCCAGAATCTTTTTGATTTGCTTAAGCAAACATTATCCTGTGGACGCCAGTGTTAATAAACTTCATCCTTGACAATTTACGAGCGATCGATCATCAATCCTTGGCGAAAAGACTTTTTCCCTGCCTTTCGCCGAGATAAGTACCGCTATCTGATTTTTACAGAATAAGGAAATTTCTTTTAGACATTCTAATGTTTTATTTCTTGCGGCTTATTCTCGTCGGCAATTGCACATATATAATTCACCTAACTACCTCGTATTGTTGATTGCGATTCCGTTAATGTCACGGTATAATGTCTTGCGTGATCCATATCCTTGGATAACTTTTCTTAGCCGAACAAAAGACTCTGAGAATACATAAATGGATCTAGCCTTACTAATGCCTTTTTCTTTTCCACTACATGCTTGCTCGATTGCATTAATATTTGCAATAAGTTAAAAATCAAACCCACTATCATTTATATTTTTATTGCATATTTTATGATTAATATTACGAGCGCGATAAACTAACTTTAATTATAAAAATAGAGAAATAATAATAAAATATACGTTTATTTTACGTCGAACTTATATGGAGTACTCGATTATGCAAAACAAGTAAATCTCGCAAGCGTAACCCATCGAGTTTTCCTTTACGGTCAAAGTTGCGCAAGGCGTTCTGCGGAAAAATTGCGAGACTGCACTCTTCAAGGAGCGGCGTGTTTGAGCTTTGCAATCGTGGATTTGGCGCTACCACAAATATAATATGTACCGCGAGAGCGATATGACGTAAGGTGCACAATAAACTTTTTTCCGGTCTGTCATTAGGATGAACGTGGCTCGCGCGAACGGTACCGTTCTGCATGAAAGCGCGGCAACGGCAACACCGTCATCGTAAATGGTTGCGCTTGCCGTTGTTGTAAGTCACCTGACGATGAGAAGCGGCGAAAGGGACGAGCGCGAGCATCACTATCCGCTCGTACCAACAGCATCCCACTGCTGTTACGTTAGAATGCGATGCGTGCCCACTGCCCGGCTTCACGTAACGTTTTGCGGCAGGAACGGATTTATTTGCGAGACGTAAACCACGAAATGCAATATCAATTACAAAAAAAAAAATGCAGATGTAATTTTATAAATAAGTCAGTAATAAATTAACAAAAATAATAATATAATATTTAAATTCTAATATAATGTAATAATAATATATATAATATATTTTATTTCAATAAATATAACTTTTTCAAGATAGTACTATATTTTTTCAACAAGTTTTAAATATTTTTAATAAATGTTTTTGTAATCAAACCTTGAGGACCGCCATTAAGTTTGTCATTACCGTTAAAATTTAATGTTATGGGGCACTTTACGTATCGCGTATGTCTATCTTTCTTTTCCACGGCGCTCGCATGCGTAATGTTTTCTGTGTGTCGTCGAAAGTACGTTCTAATTTAAACGCAACAGCCTATAAACTCGCCATGCGAATACCTTTCCTCATAAACAAAAGTAATTAAAAAACCTCGTTGGGGAGAGCATGCGAGCGTTTAATTAAGATACCGATCGTCGACTCGCTGTAACATTCGTACGTACAAGAGGGCGACCTACGGCCTCGAAAAGTTGCATGCACCGGGTGAAAATGTCGTATGACTTACTGGTCACTCTCCGGACATCGGGTGGAAAGCCGAAAGTGGGAGAGACGGGATCGCCGGTTATGCAAAAGGCGAAAACGGTCATGCGTGTGCGCCACGAACCGAGGCAATGTCATCGAACTTATATAATGTGTCGTCTCACTTCAATTATACGCAGCTTTCTGCATACATCGAGCTTAAATCCTTACCAAATGCAATTACAGCTTTGCTTTCTAAAAATCAACATTTTCGAAATATACGACTTTCGAAATAATAATTTATACAGGGTGGGACAAAGAAACCGGCGATTTTAAAAATCGTTTCGCTCCACTGCGTTCAGTGATGACATTCTTTGTCTATTATCTTTGTTAAAATCACCCATAGAAAATTTTAAGTAACAAAAATTCGAATAACGAGTATATTTTACTCATAATTTCGAATAACGAACGCTTGTGCATTGAAAATACCTGAATACTCGGTTGACAAGTTTTAATTAGTTTTTGGCTAGCGCATTCTCGGCAAAGATTAGAGTAGATCTTCGTTAATGACGTTCACTAATGAAGTCGAGTATTGAAACACCGATTACAAAAGAGAGACGCTTGACCGTTAGAAGAATCCGGTCGTTGACATCAATTTATTTGTTATCCGGGGGAACGAGAACGTCGGGCCGTCTACACGCGGAGAGATTCCGGCGAGAGGCGCGACTCGCGCGGAATTCTTACCTGCGCGAGGGATGGCCCATCTGCTCGTAGATAGGCGCAGGTGAGAGGGCCCCCGCGAGAAGAAGAAAGGTAAGAGGTCCCACGATCCAGAGATCCCTACTGCGCCGGCCGGCGAGGAGACGCGACGACGGACGGGCCTCGGTCGAGAGGAAGAGCCCGTTCAGAGTTCTTGCCGAGTCGAGTCGAAAGGATCGCGTCGAAGTACGCAGTGCATCCGCGGCAGCTTTTCACGGTGGACGAGCGTAATCGGAACCCCGTCCGTCATACATGCAACACCGATCAAAATGCCGAAAATTAGCCTGCGTACTCTGTGTAAGTGTCTCGCAAACCCATCAACACCCGGGGATCCGCACGTGAAACTTGGATTCGACCCGGCGGGAACCCCGGGTCTCGCGATTATCGACTATTGTGCGCCGATCACACGAGTGACAGTGTTCGACCTGCTCGTTTATTTTGATCACGTGTTAGCCTATAGCCGCAGGTAAGACAAGCGGGCTCGTATATATGCTAATCGAATGGATTTCATCGGTTAGGACTGAATAATTTTTTAATAACACGCGCCGAATGCAATAGTGGGGTAACGAAATCAAGGATCGTAAATTAGTTATCTCGGTGGAAATGCTCGACAATAACACGGAATAATGGGTCATAAACTCTCGAAAAATTTCGAACGATCGACGTATTGCAACATTATGGTATAAATATTTGTTCCAATAACGTTTCTAAATGTTATATATTCAAGGAATATACGAATTAATCAATTAATTCCAACAGCTGTTTTAAACATAGAATTCTAATTCTCATTATGTATTCAAATGATTGAAATCGAGGATGGCATTTACAATATTTCAGTCTGCTTTTTATTTACGATGTAATAAGTAATGCAATTTTATTTACATATTACAAGAACTATCACGCGGTTGCTAA